GCAGGCCTTCCCGGAATAACTGTCGGCCCATAAAGGGGTCATCATTTGTCTGACTCCTTGTAAAAATTTCGTTTTAATTTATTAATTTAATTAACACAGTATTTTAATTACTCTTTGGTTTAATCTTATTTTAAGGGGATGGGATGGGGGGAGGAAAGGATTATAGGGAATAGGAATGTTTTAACGTTGTTATGTTTTAAAATGCTGTTGTCCCCCGCCCCGATTGCCTTGCAGAGGGACGGGCTACAAATAAAAATTTATTATTTATTATTATTATTATCTCTCAGGAGTGCTTTGATTGTGTCTTCCTGCATGGTGGAAGTGGGTTGGACTGGATGGACCTTAGGGTCTCTTCCAATTCTATGATTCTATGAAAAACAGTCACAGAATCATTTGGAACTGGAAAGTTGGAAGGCATCCAGAAGGCTATCTGGAACCAACCCCTTGTTGGTACAGTAACTGACTACTAAAGCATCCTGACAGGTGGCCATCTCACCTTTTGTTCCAAAACCTCCGAGTTCACCATTAATTGTGTCTTCCTGCACGGTGGAAAGGTCTGGATTGGATGGCCCTTGGGGTGTCTTCCAACTCTATGATTCTATTACTCTAGGTTTATTAATTGGGAACGAATGAGAAATAGTCCCGCCATGATTTTGAAATTGTGTATGGTTTAATTAGTCCAATGTAAAGTGTAGCTGGTCCGCTCTGACAGTGAAAGTCACCAGATTGGATCTATAGTTTCTTAATAAATGTTTTTGAGGTTTTCCTCAGCTGAGCTTGAGTTTCTTTCCTTTTAAAAATTTCTTTCCTTTTAAAAAATTCCTTTATTGTAATGTGCAAGAAATCACAATAGAGCAGATAAAGACAGAGCGCAGGCAATTTACTAGTAAGGAAGAGTGCCTAACAAACACAACCTTATAAAGGTAAGTCATTATTATTATTAGTCTTCCGTAAGAGCTCTTTCCCAGAGATTTAAATGTTGATCTGGCAGTTTCAGCTGACAAGAATGATTATTAATCTATTCTTAAAAAGGATGCCATTTCTCTTCAAAAGAAGCACAATAGAAATACTCTTGTTTCTCTTCAGATCGTATAAATCTTTTGCCTTTTACTGAGCCTGAGTTTCTGAACTTTGGTATCATGCTTGATACGACAGTATTAGAAAACAGCGTAATGACTTACTAGAAACGTTTCTACTTTGGTTGCTCCAAAGCCCTGGACGAAGACAGGTTGTTCACCTCCAGATGTTCTTCTGAAGTACTGAAGCAACTGTGATGCTGGAATTCTGGTCAAAGAACAACAGTCATTGCTGGCAACCTCTCCATAGCAACAGACTCTGAATGAATCCATATTGTCCATAATGACTGGCAATGATGATTTTTGACATCATCCAGTTTTCATTTGGAACTCAGTTGTACACTTCCAAGCAAGCCACTTCAACCTGAACTGAAATTCAACCTGGAACGGAAACTCGTGTTTTCAGTTATGCAAAGGTTCATACATCATCCCCTTTCGTATAGGGATTACAAAAATAGCTATATTTCTCCTCCTTCCCCATCCCCTTTTTAATCACAATAAGAGAACATGTACAGGATAAAAGAGTACTCTGCCTGCCAAATTTGCAATGAAATAAGTACAGGACTTTCTCTTCAAGAGCAGCCTTTCCATTTAGAGGCTGTCTAAAAAAAAGCAAAACAATAGCAACACAATCCCCTTGGTTTGCTACACTTAATCCAGCCAAGATAGACGTGCTCCTGGTCAGTCGAAAGGCAGATCAGGGAATAGGGATTCAGTCTGTATTGGATGGGGTTACACTCGCCCTGAAATCTTGGGCTTGCTGCTTGGGTGTGCTCCTGGACTCAGCTCTGGGTCTTGATGCCAAGTAAGTTTATTGCATGGCACTTTCAGGAATAGGAACTGAATGGCATGGCACAGAATGGGGTGAGAACGCAAGTTACCGCACAGGAGAACGCCGCCAATGCCACCAGGAGTCCCCAAGCC